ACTATAGTGATTTGTCTTGATCAGACGGGGGCAGATGGAGAAAAGCTCAATTGCCCGTGATATTCCAACGGCAAAAGCTGCCTATACATTCCTGCAGGATATTGTGTCGTCATCATTTTCTTTCCCTGGGTGGAACAAAGGGCGAATTGTCTGTCAGCGGTCTCAGCTTAAGCGAATTCTGTCAGCCACAGACTCATCTTCAGATGAGTCAAAAGCGGATAATATAATTGCTTTAAGTAACTTCCCCATTCCTTCTATGGGAGTGAAATCATCTCCTGGTGATGTAGAGTATACCCAACATGATAATGTGATTTCTGAAACCAAAATGAGAAGAAGAACAGAGCTTATGGCTGGTACAGCTTAAATAAATCTGTCTGAATTTCTGTTCAATGGTGGAGATTGGAGGGTTGATTTGACGCTAGTCACCCCAGTGTTTGCAATGGAAAATGTAACAATGGTCTTTGCCATGACATCAGCTAACCAAATTGCTGGAAAAAGGTGGACCTTCACCTAAGTGTCGCAACTGGTTTTTCATGCAGCGACGTATCGAGCAGCCGGATGATGAAAGCTTCTGGTTTAAGGTGTTAGGCAATCGTTGTTTTCAACTAATTCAATTAACATCATATGTGACATTGATTTTATGAGAACAAGTTAATGATTTTGATAGGATGTCTCAGAACATTGTATTCATTAAAATTAGTTCATATCTGATAATTTCTCATAAAATAATAGATTTTTGCCATATAAATTGAAATTGTTGTTTGCTTTTTTAAAAAATTATTATTTTATATATTTTATATTTGGTGATCTTTTTTTTTTCTTTTCAGTGCAATATCAAACACCTTTGATAATATTACATCAAACACAGTAATTAAAGATCGTTAATGATCAAATCATAGTTCACCGCGATGAACATGAAAATGATACCAATTCTACTAGATGGTGATCGTGAAATCATGAAAATTTTCGCACAACAAAATATTTATTATTGAATTTAGCAAACAAGGGAAAACGCTTTCTTTTTGGAAAAAAATTTTCTATTTCGAAGTCCATTACTGTGAAGCCAGAAAATCCATCTAGATAGACTCAGGGCTCTTAATTTTTTAACCATCTGACGAGGGTTCGAATCTTGCGGGCATCGCCTTTGATCCATAAATTCTAATCTCAGTGACAGCAGCAACAGCAAGTCAGCAGAATAGAAAAGTAGCAATGGAGGACATGAAGGTGGATGAGAAGGAAGCGCTAGCATGCTGCGGCAGTACCCAATTCGCCAAGCAAATGGCTTTGGCCTCTCCTTTTCCTTCCTTGGATCTTGCTGTCTCTGCCGCCACGGATATCTGGTTCAACAAGGTCCCTTCTTTCTCTATCTTTCTCCCTTTTTATTTTTATTTTTATTTTATGTCATTAATCGATTATTGTTATACTTTACAAAACAATATTTCTAGGAGTGATAAATCATCTCTTTTTTTTTTCTATTAATTTGATGGTGAAGGTTGATGTTAATGGTTGGCTGGAAGCATTTGCAGCTCATCCTCAGATCGGAGAATCCCCTTCTCCTTCTTCTCACCCCACCAGTGCTCAGTCTGTCTCTCTTCCTCTTTTAATTATATCAATACCAATAATTATTGATTACTTTTGCCTATCTTGATGTCATCAAAGCATATGCTTGTATTATGAATCATCATTGCATATCAATATGACCCGCTACCTGATGTCGATCTGTATCCAATTTCTTCTTTCTAATATGTTTCTAGATTATCTCATCTTTTAGCTTTAATCTACCTTGGTTCAAACCAATTTTCAACTGCCTTAGACTCTACTTTGTCTACGATTTAGCCACTAAATTACATATGTCTGTTTCATATGAATTAATTCTCTCTTTATTTACATCTCATGTTTTCATTTAACACTTTTTTTTTCTCGATAATTGAAATTTCATTAATCATCCAAAAAAGGCAAAAGCCTACATAGCAGCAGCTAAAAGATTACACAGAGAAAATAATACCCCATTTCCTTCATCGTTCCTCATGTAAAGGATTAGTAATATGAATATGTAAAGAATTGAACCTAGCCTGAATCTCTGCAGCTATTTGATTAAAAACTGCAACAGGAGACTTGTTGTTGAAGAATGCTTTCTTTGAATTCCTCTCCCTCCAACTATGATAAATGTATGCGGTACAAGCCAAGTGCAAGATCAAAGAAGAATTAGTCTTCCCTTTCAGGATAGTAATAGCCCAAGCCAACTCAGTAAGCAAATCTCCTGGAGATCTCTGAATCAGTGATGTTTGTAGCACCCTACTCCATAGGACTTTAGCGTAACTGCAAGTAAAAAACAAGTAGTCTCTGCATTGCCTTCAGCATTGCAAAGAGCGCAAATTGTAGAAATTTTAAGGAAATTCCCCAAGCCTGAATACTGGAAAATGTGCTTAATCTGTTAAATATAGCTAACCTGGAAATAAAAGTGAATTTATGGACATGAAACTTAAACCAAAAGAACTTATCTTTATGTATGATATGAAGTCAGGTTAAGTCCAAACAAGTTCCAATTGGACCGTCAAACCCTTCAACACTTGTTGGTTTGAAAGTGGAACGGTCATAGCATCCTTGTTATGCACTGTCCAGTTACATGTATTCTTTGAATTTATCCTTTCTTCTCTCTCTCTCTCTCTCTCTCTATTAAAAATATGACTATTCTTTACCCATTTTGTTCATTCACTTGAAATTACTTCTTTTTAACAGGTGGAGTAAGGGAGAACAATCAACTGCTTTAGCAACTGCCACTGATTTGTGCTTACAGGTTGGAATTTTGCTTCAGTAGAACAAGTAAAATAATAAGAAGCCTATTAGGCACAGTAAACAAGGCTCTCAGAAAACAAAATCCCCAAAGCTACCTAAATGCAGACACATGCAGAAAATACGTTATACTTGTTGGATTGGCTATTTTTTTTTTAAATTTAGTTCTTTCCTGTAAAGAGCGATCACCTTGGCCTTACAGGAACTATCTGACTGGAATGCTCGATATAGACAAAAATTTGGACATGTATTTCTCATCTGCGCAGCTGGGAGGAGGGCTACTGAAATACTTGCTGAATTGATGGTAAAGTTTGAACTAAAATTGCTTCAGAAGCTGCCATAATCTAAGAGTTAATGGTGCATTTGGTATTGCTTTTAATTTCATGTTTTATGTTTTTTGTTTTCAAAAATTTCTTTTTTGTTTTGATTTGTTTTCTTTTCGAATTTCGAAAACATTAAACATGTTTGGTAATTCTAATAATTTGAAACAAGATAACTATCTTCAAAATACTATATTAGTGTTTTAAATTTATTATAGTTGAGCACTTATATACCATATTAATATTTTATAGTTTTATAATATTATATTAAAAATTTTACAAAAATGTTTTAGTTTTTACTATTTTGAAATTGATATGAATAATTCTAAATTTTGCTCTTGTAGAATCGGTACTGGAACAGGCCCATAGTTGAGCTTGAGATAGCAGCCAAAGAGCAAATGAAAATAACGGAATTGCGTCTTAGAAAGCTTTTCTCTGCCAAGGCAGAAGCTGTATCAACAGGCAGCCAGTATTCAAAGGTGGTTGTGAGTAAAGCAGAAGGTAAACTTGATTTTCCTTCTCATTTCCACTTCCTCTTTTTCCTTGAAAACAGAACATTGTTTGCCTTCATTGTGCATACATAGACTCTCAACACTTACATTTGCAGTCCTTAACCTACATGCTATTTCACCTTGCACCATTTCTCATCGTAAAACTTTATTCTACTGGCTGATTACCTTGCATGTACCTAAAAGAATAGCGTCAAATGCATACTGAAATAAATGAATTGCTATGAAGTACTGCAACGTCTGGTGACCTAAGGACCACATCCTTCCTGCCAAAGGATGGTAACTAGTTTCTAAATTGCAAAAGTAGGAGTTTCCTTGTTTTCAATGTAGTCCTCTATGTTCTACTAAAATACTAATGCTTAACATAATCTTTTGGGAAAAACAATTCCAAAAGAATAAGGGGTGCTTGTAACTGTTTTTAGAAAGTTTGATACGTTATTATTCTAAAAATTTGAACTACTAAAAACGTTCTTGAGCTGTTGTCAATTGTCACCAGTTGATTTTGGAGATTTTTTCCTTCTCCAACTCCCATTTGATTTTCATCTTTTGATACCATGTAGTCCAAAGTTGCTTCCCTGCTTGCGTTGAAATGGTTTGGATTTAGGTCACTGTTCATTTTTCTTCTTCATTTCTTAAAATCTAGAAGAGCGTGTGAGCATAATTGGACAGCATTTAACTGCTTCTTTAGAAGATTTTCCGGGAAAAGCACCTCAAGTCCAAGCTCGAAGTCGTCCACCCATTACTACCCATGTCTTGGATGTTTCTCGGGGATCTCCAGCTGCTGGTGTTGAAGTACGTTTGGAAATGTGGAAGGGTGTTGAACCTTGTCCATTGTTTGGTGAGATGGATAGAGGTGGTTGGGTTCTTCAAGGATGTTCAACTACTGATAGAGATGGACGAAGTGGCCAGTTGATAAGCATGGTAGATGCTGTGAGCCCTGGAGTATACAGGATAAGTTTCAACACGGGTAAGTACTGCCCAGTAGGCTTTTTCCCCTATGTCTCAATAGTCTTTGAAATCAAAGAGTCACAGAAATTGGAGCATTTTCACGTTCCTCTGCTGCTTTCACCATTCTCATTCACAACTTACCGCGGGAGCTAAGAGGAATGTTGAGTTTCTGATGTAATCAGATGCTTGAATGATTGAGGGTGTTATCTCTCTTACTATGATTGCTATGTGGTGAGTTAGTTATTGTTGTGATGAAAATTGAGACTTGTCTGCATTTTGTAGCGGAGAAGATTGTATTTGAAAAAATAAACTGAAAAAGTGAATGCATTGTTAGCGTTTTCTATTCCGCGTAAGAAATTTATGTTTTGGTCCTCACCTTCAGGCTAGGCTGCATTATCAATTAGGCAACGTCACAAGGAAAAAGAAAAGAATGCTTATGTTTGTTTCTGGCGAAACGCTGGTAACTTAATGATGAGATTCCAAAAAAGTTTGCTTGCTTTCAAGTTCAATTGTTTCGAAGTTGTATAGAAAGATATTTGATAGGTCATTTGAACCCTAAGGTCTCGTAATGTGCGAAGCAGATGGGAAACTTGTATAAGTTGATTTTAGATTGTCCTTTAGATTTTGTCTTAATTAATTCTTTAAAAGCATCTTGGTGTTTCTGCAAGTTTCAAGCAGTGGGTGAGCTACCCTCAGCAGATCCTACCTACCAACCAACATGTTCAATTTCATCTACCCTAAAACCAAAATTTAACTCATATTAGGCTTTTTGGGTGACTGCCATTCCCTCATTTCCTCTCTGGCTCATCTTTCACCTTTCCTTTCTTAAAATGGGCGATGAGAAAAGAAAGACAAAGCCACGACTGATGGAGTGTCACCGCGGTTTATAAAGTTAACTTGCACTGTCGGCAATGCGCCTGCGAGATAAAGAAGCCTCTTATCAGGACTCAAGGTACACAATATGTATATACATAGGCATGCATCTTCACACACACACACACACACACACACACACACACACACATACACACACACACACAGAGGTTATACTTAATCTTCACAAGCTTGCATGCTCATGCTGCTGTGCTGCAGGAGTTCATAGCGTGGACGTTGAGATAGAAAAAGGTGAAATTAAAGTTAAAGGCGTGATTGATGTGATAAAAATCCACAAGCTGATAGAAAAACTGAGTAAGAAAAAAGTGGAGTTAGTGTCACCTCAGATCAAGGAGAAACCTGCTGCAACACAGACCAAAGTAAAGGAAACCCAAGAGGTACACACACACACTATATCATTACTTACTTGATTCCGTATGCTTTAAAGAGCTTTACTGAAACAACCCTATATATATTAGCATATGATTAAGTTATACATCAGCTACCATCAAAACAGGTAACTAAATGAATTTGTGTTTTTAATTATGCATCTGACATTATATTTGATCATATACAGCCAATTTTAAGCACAACACTAGTGAAGGTGCATCTGCACTGTCACAAGTGTGAACAAGACCTACGAAAGAAGTTGTTGAAGCACAAAGGTAGCAATTTTCCATTTCCCAATATTGCTGTTTGTTCAATGTCTTACTTAAAGGTTCCTTCATCATAAATGGAATGGAATGCAGGTATTTACAGTGTTAAGACAGATATGAAAGCACAAACTCTAACAGTACAAGGAACTATCAAGTCCGATGATTTGTTATCATACATTAGGAAAAATGTGCATAAACATGCGGAGATTGTAAGCTCAAAAACAGAGGCAAAGGAAGAAAAGAAGGAAGCGAAAAAGGATGACGTGAAAGATGGTGCCAAATCCAGCGAAAAAATTCAAGTTACCGAATTCAAGCAACAAGAAAAAGTAGAGGCCAAAAGTAAAGAGGGCAACGCTCCATATTTTGTTCATTATGTTTACGCTCCCCAATTGTTTAGTGATGAAAATCCAAACGCATGTTCTGTTTTATAGACGAATAAATCACCATGTTTATATTTACATATTTATGTGGTAACCATCATGCTCAAATTCATGCCATCAACTTCAATTATATCAACCATTATTTCAAAAAAAAAAAAAAAACAGCCTTGGATTGAATTGATCAATTCAACCAGTCGCATAATAAGATGAACTTAGAATTGATAATATCCCCGTTAAATCTATGTTTAATAATTAAAACATTACTATTTGAATGAAATTATATAATTTTAAATTATTTTCATTCAAGCATTTGACTCATTGATTAGTATATAATCTCCTTATTTAAAAAGCATTTTGAAGTAAAACTGCTTCATAATTCTTTAATAACAATCAATTGATAAATTTAACGAATAGGTATTAACGTGATAATATATAAAATTTATTAATTTTTTAAAGACAAAAATAAGTAATTGATGGTAAAGTAAATCATGCAAATCACAAAGTAAATTTAAAGAGTAAAATGCATGGAAATGGTGCATGTCTCACCATTATTTTTATGAGTCTAGATTTTAACTAAACTTGAAATTAATTTGTATTTTCATAATAACTACACGTGCGATACTATCCTAACATGAAATGCCACAAAATATAACTGCTGCTTTCTAAAATTTTTTCAAATGGTATAAATTGAATATTCTTTAACAGTTCATTGTCGTCTAAAATTCAACTAGTTGAATATAATCACAATCCAATATTGATAAATAATAAATGACAAAATTTGGTATTTGTTGTAAAAGAAATACTAGAAATAGGAAGAAAAGAAAGATATTGAGAGAATGCTCTTTAAGTATTACTGAAGTAATGTTTGAAATGAAAAATAATTGTGATACAAAATGAGGGTGGGTTGACCCCCTATTTATAATTGAAGCTCCTTACAAATCAATGGCTATCACAATCTTCTACTAAAATACATCTTTAAATTACATTATCTTTTTGATAAATCCCACATTATCATCTAGATAATATCCACCTGTAAATGAATCTTGAACTATCTAGAATGTGGATAATACATTTATCATTTATCAAATTTACTCTAATTTGAATTGATTTAATGTGGTTTGATATGTCCATATTTCATAACAATCCCCCTTGAACAGAATACCATTGTGGTGGCCTAGTTAGATGTGTTATTACTGCCTCGTTAAAAACATTAAGTCGAAAAAATCAAGTGGGACAAAAATTAAAAAAAAGGGAAAAAGAATACAGTGCATTAAGTCTATAATTGTTCCCCCTCAATTAAACCATATTGCCACTTCTAGGGTTTATTGATTTTGAGGTAATTGATACTTTGCTACTCTAGGGGCAAATTAATCTTTCGCCACATTCCAAGACCATATACTAGTTTCTCAAATGCTAACGTTGGCAATGACTTGGTAAAAAAATCTGTAAGATTATTAGTGGAGTGAATCTGTTTAATGTCAAGTTGTTGACTTTCTTGAAGGTCGTGAGTATAGAAAAATTTCAATGAGGTATGCTTGGTCCTATCACCTTCAATATATCTTTCCTTGACTGGTGCAACACAAGCAACATTATCTTCATAAATTATGGTGGGAGAATTTGTAACCAGTGTTAAACAACAAGAATTATGAATGTGCATTATAACGAATCTCAACCAAGCACACTTTCTTTCAGCTTCATATAGAGTGATAATTCGGAGTGATTGGAGGATGCAGCTACTAGCATTTGCTTAGTATAGCGCAAAGAATTGGTGGTGCTGTTAAAGCAAAATAAATAACAGGTTTGAGAGCGAGCTTTGCGCGGATCAGATTTATATATTGCATTAGCGTATCCAACTAAACTAGAGTTAGTAGAATCCTTGGAATAAGATAATCCCAAATCTATGGTTCCTTGGAGATAACGAAAGATATGTTTTATCCTATTCAAGTATCTCCGGGTTGGCTTAGAATTAAAATATGCCAATAAATTTATCACAAAAGCGATATATGGTATTGTACATTGTGCCAAAAACATCAAAGCCCCAATTACATTGAGATATGGTACTTCAGGACTAAGTATCTCCTTATCAGGTTCTTTAAGATGAAATGGGTACTTTTAGGGATTAAGAGATCTCACAACCATAGAGGTGATCAATAGGTGAGCTTTGTCCATGTTAAAACGTCTAAGCAATCTCTCAATGTATGCTGATTGATGGATAAGTATTCCATTTGCTTTGTACCCAAGCTTTAAACCAAGACAAAGTTACCCAAATCTTAAACTTCAAACTTTTTTTTTAAATAGTCAACAATTTTAGATAACTTTTCTAAAGTTCTAATCAAATTCATATCATCGACATAAACTGCTAACATAGCAAATTTGGTTTTCGATTTCTTAATAACACATGGAAAAATAGGATCATTCTTGTGCCCTTCCTTAATTAGGACTAGGTTAAGCGTTGATACCACATATGATTGGATCGCTTTAACTCGTATAAAGATCTTTGCAACTTTAGACATTTTGAACCCCTCGAGAATTTTCATATAAATATCAAAGTTTAATAAATCATATATATATGTTGTCTCAATGTCCATAAGATCCATTTCTAGTGTTTTAGAAATACCTAGGCTAATAAGAAATAAAAAGTAATTGTATCCATCATAAGTGAATACGTCTCATCATAATCAATCCCAAGTCTCCAAGCTAAGCCTTAAGCTACAAGTCAAGTTTTATAGGTCACAACTTTGTTTTTTGCATTTTGATTCTAGACAAAGGCCCATTTGTATCGAACAGGTTTTCCATTGTCAAGGGTTTAAGCTACAGGTCTGAAACCTTCTTGTTTAACTAGAGAAGCCAATTTAGCTTGGATTGTTTCCTTTTACTTAGGCCAATCTTGCCTTTGACAACATTCAATAATAGATCATAGTTCATAATCTCATGAACAATTGAGAGTGCAAAAACATTATCGATGATTATCTCATTTCGATCCCAAATCTTATTACAATATGTAATAGAGATCTTAGTATCCTCGAGGTCAGTGATCTTTTCATGGGTTTGTGCCTCTTCAGGGATAATAAGCTCTTCTAGAGCAAGCTTAATACCAGGCTCTTCTAGAGTGGATTCTTGATTCCTCCCTATTCATTTTCAAGGGGTAATGTCTTTTGATCTTATCGATTTTTCACGCTTCAAACATGGGTCATTGGAATCCATTTTAGCATATCCTTCAAGAACAACAATTAAAGCTAAAGCAATCACAATTGGAATATGAGACTTTGTGACCTTAGCAATGTCATTAAATGCGTCAAGAAGTCTATTGGCAATAGCTTGTAAATGGATTATACGCTGCACCTTGTTTTCATATTAAAGAGTTTTGGGGTCTAAATGGGATAGATTTTTCTCATTCTAGGAGAAATTCTCAACTAGTTTTTGCTTCTTAGCCATGGAAGCCTTAGGTATCCTAATTGATGGAAACACTGTATCATCAAATGGCAATCTGCGAATCTGACGACAAAAAGATCACTTGTCATTGGTTCCAAGAATTTAATAATGGATGGTGAATCAAACCTAAAGTAAATGCCTAAATAGCATTGGGGACCTATTTTAGTCCTTTTTTTACAGTGCTACAACTACCGGTACAACATAACTAAAAGTGTGTAAATGTGAAATGTCTAGTTCATAGATTAGAATCAACTACATGGGAGATTGTAGGAGGTTAGCAATGGGGACGCAATCTAATTAATGTTGTTGCATGCAAAACAACATAACCCTACATTGGAGAGTTGAGCTTTGTTTTTAATAAAAAAGTACGACCAAAAACTTGGATGCGTCTAATTAAGAATTTTGCCAATCCATTCTGAGTATGAACACGTGGAACTAGGTGCTCAACCTTGATTTCGAGTGACGCACAACATATATTAAAGCTCTTTGATGTAAATTCACCAACATTATCCATCTTTATGCTCTTGATTAGATAATTAGGGAAGTGTGCCTGGAGTTTTGTAATTTGTGCAAGTAAATGTGCAAAGGTGACATTGTGAGTAGATAACAGACAAACATGGGACCAACTACAAGATGCATCCACTATTACCATAAAATATTGAAATGGCCCACTTGCTGGTTGTATTGGTCCACAAATATCACCTTTGAATCTATCTTAACCATCCATTCAAAGTTATGGAAGCATCAAACATGCTCCATAATTATCAAAACTAAAATTAAAGAATAAGTGATTTAATTCTTTAGTTATTATTTAGAGTTTTTGATAAAATAATACCTAGGTGATCATGGTAAAGTCCAAAATCATCGAGATTTACTAGTCTTCAAGACATGGTAGTGTAAGATTCAATAGCGTTAATAGTGACACAATACAATCCTATAGTTAAAGCTTCTAGCTTCTCATGGATAGTCTTTTTGCTCATCTTATAAGAGGTGATGTAGATGCAGTCTTTATTTTGCTTATAAATTGTCTCAAGATGGTACCTATTATGATGTACATATTTAAAGCTAAGTAGGTTTCTCTTCGATCTATTACTTAGTAATGCTTCCTTGATATGTAAGGTGGTATGATTTAGTAGAACAATTATGGCATTTCTAGAACCATTAATAATCTTAATGGGACTTGATGTTGTATGGACATTTGCTTTAAGCAATGTTAAACTCGAGAAAAAGTGCTTGCCACAAAGTATGGCATGTGTCGTTGCACTATCAAGTAAACAGACATTTTCTTTTTTCTCAGTGATTCCTATTTGCACTTGTATTGACAACTTCAGTTGTCAAGTATCATAAAAATTTACAAATTAGTCATGGGACTGAAAGTTTCAAATAATAAATATGGAATCAATTTCATAATAATTTTATTAAATATCTATATTATTAATCCTTGGGAATAATCAAGCAACAAGAATACATTCAGAAAAAGAGAAAATATTGAAGAAAATGTTAAAATCCTCAAATCCTAAGTTTAGGCTGTGCTTCACCATTTTGATACCTTATCCTGGCTATCAAGATCCTTAAGGAAGTGTATAAATCAACAAAGCACTTTGGCGTGCGACAGGTATGCGATCAGTGTCCAGTCATGCCATAAT